TAATATATCTATGTTATTACACTGCTGGTTTGATGAGGTAGGTGTCCCAAAATAAGTCGTCTGAGGTGTAAACTACTTATTGTTAATAGATATGGGAGTTGGAAATGTCATTCATAGTTAGCACACCAGAGCACTGCGGCTAGACAGACTGCTTTGCTGGTGGCCCGCGCAGTGTGTCACGTTCTCTTAATGGCGTTCTTTACCGTCTCAAGTATTATGTTGTAGCTTAGTTTACGGCCGACATCACACGGCATTAATGTGGGACCATGCAAGTGTTTTTCGCTTTTTGAGATGGTTCACAGGCCGGGGGTTTGACACTCACAGCCGACAAATGTAGAAGGTAGACACGCGTCGACTGCACCCTAAACTCTCTTCAGTAGGCCTTAGCAAAACCTCTAAACGTTGTTATTTACCCATTTATTCGCCCAAATAGACAAATCTATCGAACTGTTATACCCTTTATTTCCTCCGCAGACATCTTCATCCCTTCTCCGACGCATACCCTTTTAATCGCAAAATTGCTACGATAAATTGGTTTTCGGTTTTTATTATCCTATTCAATACAGTTGAAATACCAGACACGCACGTCCGGCCATTTTGGCTCTACACAATAAGCTTCAAACGGCCCGATTTTTATTATCAAACGAGTACTCATTGTGTTTGAAACTGCACATGTCTGGCCAGCCATCGAATGAGGTCGTGGTGTTCCTTTCATTTCTTCATGTATCAGCCGACTGGTTCGTGGCTCCTGTGGTTTTACGTGTGTGAATGTTTACCTGCAGATGCGGTATGTTCGACGCGCCGTTGGCAACGAAGCCAGTGTATTTCCTGTAGCAGAACACGAGGTGTTAGTGTGGAAGTTGAAGTGCGATCGGAACCGTTAACGTCAGAGAACTATTTCATGTGTATTGAGGGTCGCGGCGTGTTAGCGTGATACAAACGATGCACGGACATCGTTAGCCGTTAGTGATACAACGATGCCGAATGCTTTACACGTTACGTTGCATTACAACGCGTTTAAGAGATGCTACCGTTACGTGATACAACGAGTTGTTGGACTATGTTAGCGATACCGTGATCAACGGTCTAAGAGATCGTTACACGCTTACGTTGACTATACGATGCACGAAAATGACCGGGGGCCTGAGCTGTTACGTGATACAACCATGTAACGACATGTAGCCGTACGCTGATACAACGGTCTAAGAGATGTTACACGTTACGTGATATAATCGTGCACGACATGTTAGGCGTTACGCTTGATACAACGATCATGTACCGACCAATGCTTGCCGTTAGCGTGATTACAACGTCTAATGAGATGATACTCGTTATCGTTGAATTACAACGATGTACGGACATGTTAGCGTTACGTCTGATAAAACGATGTACGACATGTTACAACGTTACGTGATACAACGAACTACCCCACATTGCTAACCGTTCCGCTATGACACCGTATCTCGCATGTTAACGTTACGTGATACAACGAACTGCCGACTGTACCAGTTTACGATGATACAAGCGATCGCTCGACCATGTTACCCGTTAGTGATACAACGGATGTACGACATAAGTTAGCCGTACGTGACTACACGAATGTACGACATGTTACACGTTTACAGTGATTACACGAACTGGCAACATGCTACCCGTCTTACGTGATCACCGATTCTACGAAAATGGCTTTACACGTTACGCTTATTTCAACGAACTAGCGACTGTACCCGTTTACGTGATACAGCGAGAATCTACGACAAGCTACCGTGTTACATCACGAATACAAACTAACTGCGATTACTGCGCGGACGACGTTGCGTTGACACACTGAACATTGTAAGTATAATGAAGAGCGACTAAAACGTAGTATGATGCACGCAGCTTAAAGTTGAATCAGCCCTCCTGCGTGTTGCTACCGGACAACCGGTGGACAATCATGCGTTCTCGATATTAATATTTGTCTCTCAAGTCCCGCGATGATGTGCTAACCGTTGCGGTAATTAGAATAATGAACACTAGCGCGGCGGATTATCGGACATAACCGACGTCTAGTTCGAACACGTTAGTTCGCTCATTGGGCGACTATAGCTGAATTAACTATAATCAGGGAGTAAATCAGGGTAAATCCTATGACCAGAGAGAGCAGTGAGCGGGAGGGTCGAGCATGTAACCGCCCTCCTCATCTTTTCCGCCCCACATGCCTGAATTTATCCGTCATGCGGCAACCGCACGTGACTCATTCCAGACGCAGATGATCACTCGTCATAATTACGACGCGAGCGCCGCGTCGCTGCCGTAAGATCCGCTCGTCCACACCTGTGAGATGTGCGGGAGCAGACGCATCAATCAAAGCCAAGTGCTTGCTCCGCCGAGCTTGTCTTAATTTAGGAGTTCTATTTGGTCGCTGCTAAGCCAGGAGATGGAAGTCTGACGCCGCTACAGATTAGACAGTTCAGCTGGAGCGGAGTTGGCGGTGGAATGCGACCACGGTTAGGTTTCGTTCGTGAGTTACCTCGCCATTATGAATGTATTTGGATTACAAAAAGAGCTTGTGAGAAAAAATTCAGTCTCGGGCATCTTTGACCCGAGCGCCATGTTTCGCGCCACGAGCTGGAGGTGTTCGCCGAACGAGGACTGTCACATCTTGAGCCAAGCTGTTCGATCTGCTATCGATTCGACCGTGGTTCGATTTATTACGATTAGCTGCCGATTCCGGCTGAGCCGGTATTGTCCAGATGAGAGCTGAGAGAAGCGTACATGCGCGCACGAGACGCACGCCGAGTAATCATCAGTGACGTCGCATCTCGCACAACGGTCCTTTCTCCTTCTCCCCTCCTCTTCTCCATAAATCAGTTGCGTGGCGAGTAGCGTGGAATCTTATGAGGGCGAAGCAGCATCGCTCGTTGTTGTGCCGGAGACGGGCGGTATTAGAAAAGGAGATACTCGCGAACAGCCACAAACCGTGACGCGATTACCGCGAATCGCATTTACGCAACAAGATAGCGCGCAATACTCCGCGTTCACCCCCCCCACCCCTTGCACACAACCGCCGCTGCCAGATATTATATATAACATTATGACATATATATATATATACTATATTATATCGGCGTTTGTAAGTGATTTCACGAGTGCTTGTCGTGTGGCGCAGGGGGGAGTAAGGAGTGGGCGGGGAGGGGGAGGATAGAGATCACACTACAACTACGTTCAATTAACGGTATAAGCGCACATGTGCCAAGGTCGCGCTGTTCTTCCGTGCGGAGTCTACGCGCTAACACTGCACGCCCATATGCTAACACGCCATTGGCTGGATCGAATCCCTCCGATCTTTATCATCTCATTAATTTCCCCCTCCCTCCCCTCCTTCCCCCCGATCTGCAACGATTAGCGAATAATCAGCGTCGGGGACTTAACACTTAGCCACTCTCCATATCGTCGGCAATTAGAATAAGATGATATGGAATTGCCGCCAATAACAGACGAACTAATTACTAGATTAACCAACGGGTGCGCGGGCGCGTTAACTGCTACCAACGCACCCTGGCGGCAGAGGAAGGCACTATTGTCGACACGAACACCCACGTACGCGCGCGTGTATGCGGGACAATTTTACGCGAATGGATTCAGGAAGGTCAAGTACGAAGGTCAAGTCCCCAGTGTGAAATTTACACCGTATCTAGTCTTGAGGTTACCGTTTCGAAGACACAATTTCTTACATTTCGCGACTTCGTTTCACAGAAAGTGGTCTGCGTTGCGCCTTTAGTGTTTAAAAAAAATAATCTCGTTACTCTACTAGATATTCTTTGGTATTTTCTCAGTAACGTCTCGGTGACATTGGGATTTCAGACTGGGAACAAACCGACACAATTAACATAAAAGCTCTAGGCTGCCTAGTCGCATGACACAATACAGAATCGGCATGTACATATAAGAGCTATATACTCGCGTAACAATAACAAACGATCATGCTCATAATGGACACACAATAACACTATATACTATATCCACCTCTATCTAACTACGAAGACAACACGAGCCTTTACTAATCATAAAAATCTCACAGCTAACTTACTCTCCTAATCAAAAATAACGCGCAGGCTCACTGCTAAAGTTGTGATGGATCGACAAATCGTCAAACTGCAAATCTGAACAGGATCCCTGACGGAAGGGCGAACTGGAGAGCACGTAGTCAACAAATGACAAAGCTCGACTTCACACGTACACACGCACGCGTACACACGCACGCGCACACATGCACGCGTACACACGCACGCACGCACGCACACAAGAATTCGACAGCGACAATAACTGTAAACAGCACTCCCAGTGATCGCCCCGATTAGGCTACAATTAGCTCACGGAACATTATCCGGGCTCTGCTCTAGTTGCCACACCCCTCATCTAATTACGAAACGCAGTAATGGCTTCGCTAGCAACAGAGCTAATACGGGCCGCGAACCGCCCACCGGCAAGCGCGTTGTCAAGGACGCACCGAAACAAGACCCCATCTTTCACCTACGAACGTCTAACCCCACAACGAAAGAACGCACTTTAACAGACGCTGCGAGCGCAAAATCGGTTCTAATTCTTACACTCAGAATCAATGATTCGGATTTCTCTATAGGCTACTCGTGTACGATACCAAATCCTACGTCGCAAACGGCGATGACGAAACGCAAGACCGTTGTGAATTATCGCAGATCCAACTACGGCTGATAGGGTCTATGTCCCCCAGGGTACTGCCGGAACGTACCCTGGGTACGGTCCGGTGTACCGGAACGTACCCTGGTAACTATCTAGCTGATATGGTTAGTGTTAGTGTTAGGGTTAGGGTTAAGGTTAGAGTTAGGGTTAGGGTTAGTGTTAGTGTTAGGGTTAGGGTTAAGGTTAGAGTTAGGGTTAGGGTTAGGGTTATGGTTAGGGTTAGGGAGTAGGCGTAGGCGACTCCCTAAACTCGTTAGTGGAGTAGGCGAGGTACGGTCCGGCATATTAGATAGTAGTATTTAGTACCAGGGTACGTTCCGGCAGTACCCTGGGGGACATAGACCCTCTCAGCTACACTACGTCAACACAAGCTCTCTAACAACAGACGCTTATAATGGACTTGTTTCACGACCATCATTTCGGAGAGTTTCTGCCGAAGGGACCTCGACTTCTTACTGATAGTTCTTTTTTGGAAAGGTTCCTTTCGATGGCGACTACATTATCGAACTTAATTCCATTACACCGTAGAAATTTCTATATAAAATTGCATAGCTGCCCCCCTGAAAAATTAATAAAAATACCGGATAGTAATACATGTACAACAAACTTTTGATGCAACTTCAGCATTAGCCTAATAGAGTACCATATGTTCAAAATAGTACATTTGTTTTTGATTCTCAACTGGCCAAACTACCAACATTAATTACCCAAGCCGTTAACATACTTTTGTTATTCACCTATTTCCAATTAGGCAACGGTACGCACAGGAAATATCTCTGTATTACTGTCAAATAAATGCACATCACAGTTATTAATGAAGTAATTAAGATGGTGTGATTTACTCGCGTCTTAATCAGCACCAACTCGCTCTCATTAGAAACAGTGTTTCTCAACGTACACTGCAAATGCAGATACAATTGAAAGGAAGGTAGTCAGGATGAAAGCAGACTCAACAAAGGGGGAAAACAGAATCCTGTCGGCTGGATAGGGACACTGATCAACAGACACCAGGTTTGTGCGAATCCAGATATCGTTTCAAGCTTTTGTTTTGTTTGTTTATTTTAGTATACTTCACGTTACGTTTCGGAAATAGCAACGAACGTAGAGTCAACGATCATAACGATACTAATAGAAACGCGGGGGAACTACGCTAACCGCAACCTAGATAAAGAGACTTTACGTAAAAAGTAAGTGAAGTAATACTTATCGAAATGAAAGCGAGCAGTCATGGCGTCTTAAAATATTCCGTGCCTGATATATAGTGGGCTTAAAGTAACTCAAGACCTAACTCTAATCAGAAACAACGAAGCACCAGGCTCTAATGGCAAGTGGGATGAGCACGGGACTCGTTTTCAAGAACGAAGGATGCAGACGAATGTATGATATGCACCACCTCTGAGGTCGAGTGGCGCAATAGGATTTATGACGTCGGCATTGTATACAACAGCTTGACAAGTTGACAGTACGTAGGCTGCAACATTTCTGAGAAAAAGATAAATCAAGTAATATATACGTTTATGGTAGTATGCTATAGATAGTATATGCATGGCTATGTGTAAAAAGGCAAAGCCATTTCCTTTCAGCTGTGTACGTTTCTGATATTCTACGTACAGTGTGGACCTATCTATTACATTTACCAAAGATTGTTGGACTGACTCATATGTTTTAATCACCTATCAATATCCCCATAAATGACGCAAGCAGCTTGAACACGTTGGCGGGTGAACAGTAATGGGATTCGTCAAGCCAGTGTCGAAAGATTCGGGCAACGAATCGCAAAAGTCGCTTCACGATCACGTGACACAAGCTGCGCCAATCACGCACGTGGAACTTCAAATGTTTCTATCAGCAAATTTGTAGGGAGCGGTGAGAATGGGTAGTTAAAAGCTGCCGCTCGTGCATTTTGGAAATGTCAATGTCTCTCAGCATACATTTGGTAGACGATATCGTAGACCAGATGAGATACCACGGCGACCACGACCGCGCCGATGGTGTTAGCTATTCGATAGCTCTGTGTATATAAGATCTAGACGGTTTTAAGCAGCCGCGTCTGTGTTCTGGTGAACTTGAAAAAAAAACACTGGAAGAGACAAAAGTCTTGACGGGGAAATCGAGATAGGGAGCAAGTCTAATCAGCTACCATGTCGGCGAACCACATATTTACATAAATACGCACCTCTACCGTGTGATGTCTCCACACGGCAAGCAGTCTCATATGGCCAGCTGACAGAAATAAATGCACAAAAATAATAACAGAAGATCTCGGCCTGAGCAAAAAGACAAAAACAAACGATAGCTGCTCTATACTATGATTCACGATACAAAAATGAACTCGCAAAAAGAGCCAAATCATATGCTAGACAGAGCTGCTAGCTCCATCATGCGTGCTAGATAGATTTCGCACACCCGCCAATGCAATCCCAGTCTTAACCCACTCACAGGTTTGTAGTCGTGGCGAAGGATAGTAGCCTCAAATTTCATCAATTTTTGCTTGAGCAAAATGCCAATGCAGTTGAGAGAGAAATCAAGGACCCAATAACAACCGACAGATCGTGTCAGCTTCCTCACATCCACGCTTCCGATGCCGGTTTCCATGGTGACGAGAAGCGAAGGCGTGCCCCGGCGACAATTCAGATGCACTCCGGAGACGCGGGAGGTGAAGGTCAACCTGATGTGCGCCAGATGTGGTCGAACCTTCGCGGGTATAAATGCAAGCGCACCGATTCTCCTTCTCGCAAGCCGCCCACTTCTAAGGACAGATCCGATTCTGATGCATTCCATTCTGATGTATTCCAT